GGGTGGGATGGCTGGATGGGGTGGCCCAGAAAGTTGCTTTACATGGTTTTTGCCCTCCTCATGTTTACCAGCTCCCCCCAACCCAGCCGCCCCTTCACTTTTTTCAGATTCAAAAGAATTGTATCAGCAAACTTACACTCAGATAAAAAGAGCAGTGGCATGTAAATCTTGTCCTCAGGTAGCTTGTGGCTTAATAGGGAAATTAAGGTATATGTTGCTATTTCTACATGACAGGTGTTTGGGGTTTTAATTACTTCCTGAGACCAGAGCATTGCGCCAGGAGCGGGTGTGGAGTTGGGCGACACAAGGATATACGGGCTGTCTCTGGTCCCTGTCCCCACAGAAGCTTAAAAATACAAAGGGATGTGGATGAAGAGAAACATAACTTGAAACTAGCCTGGCTCACTGTGCCCAATAGGAACTCAGGGTGAAGATGTGGCTTCCACATCCTGTTTTAAGATTCCAGATTGATGGATGACCCCCCCCCCCCATCCTGGCAGAAGCTGGGTCTCGGAAGTAGGGACCGCTTTAATGTCTAGTTCCACCTGGTCTAAGACCAGAGTGAGCTGCACACAGCAATGGTCAAAAATAGCTGAAGTTCAAAGCCTCAAGCCCCAAGGGAGAGCCCAGAAAACCTTGGCTTCTGTTACCTGGCCACCATCCCCAAATTCTTCTGCAAACCTGCATTAGAAAGATAAATGAATGGAAAAAGAAAAGGAAAAGAAAGAAATTCAGAGGCTAGAGTATGCTCAGAGCTTTGGAATTTCTGTCCTGGCACCCAGTTTTTTAGTGGTCTCGGGGGTGGAACAAATGCCGAGGCTACCTGAGGGAGAAGCAGAGGGGTGTGCCTTCAGCGGGGTGAGCGGGGTGAGCGGCCGGGAGGTGGAGGAGGAGGGAGCCGCGCTGGCCGCTGACCTTCAAAGGAAGTAGACCGGAGGGGATCGAGTTTCATGCCCTTGAACTCCTGCCCCTCCCCCTTCGGCTTCCTCTGAATGGAGTCAGGAATTCCATTCACAAAATGGAGGCCTGAATGAGCCCACCTCCCGCCTCCTCCCGGAGGTGTCGGGTTTCACCGTCTCTTCAAAGGTGGGCGTGGAGGGGGTAGGGCGGGAAAGGCTTGAAAGGGTGGCTCCCCGGCCGCCGCCTCCAGGCGGAGTGGGGCGGTTTCAGTCCTTTGGAACCGAGGGAAACTGGGTAGAATGCGTTGTGCTGTCAGACGCGGAAAGACAGCCCAGAGCCCACTGCCCACTGCCCACTGCCCACTGCCCCTGCCTCTGCCTTCTGTGTGGATGCCGCAGCCCTCCCTCCCGCCCTCTATCCGAGGCACCCTGACTCACTCTCTCAAACACACACACACACACAGACACACACGCACGCACAACTGGGAACCTGACCTGCTGACCGGACCTTAGCCCATTCCAAGGGCGTCTTAGGCATGTACACTGAACCCTTTCCCCCGGAGGTTCACCCCTACCCCCCTGCTCCCCCTGCACTCACAGGAAACAGCTGCTCCCTGGAATCTCGGGCCTGTGGAGCAGCTTTGCCCAGCCCCAGCTGCTCCTGTCCATGTCCACGTCCATGCCCATGCTCATGCCCCCTCTCGGCCCTCGAGCTGAGGGTTCATGCCACTGGCGCACTTCCCCTGGGTCTTGGTGGTAGGCAGGCGCTGAGGAAGGAACCAGCCTGGCAGGAAGGAGTTCGTGAGTGTGGGCAGAGGCCCACCCTCAGCCCCACCAGGTGCTGCCCGTACAGTGCCTCGTTCTTCCCTCAGATGTCCCCGGGTGCGCGTCCATGTACCTCCACACGGAGGGCTTCTCCGGGCCCTCTCCAGGCGATGGGACCATGGGTAAGGCAGCGCCCTCCTCCCTGGCATCGGGAGGGTCTCCTTGCCCCGGGGTCCCTCTGGACTCTCCCGGGTCTCCGCTCAGTGAATCCCCAGGTCGGAGTGACTCCCACCTTCTCCCTCAAGGCTACGGCTATGAGAAACCTCTGCGGCCGTTCCCAGATGATGTCTGTGTCGTCCCTGAGAAGTTTGAAGGTCTGAGAAGCGCCTGTTTCGTGAGGGGACCAGGGTCTTTAGCTATGTCTCACCCACTTCGTGGGGAAGGGTCTTGAGCATGCCGTGGGGAGGGCAGGGTTTGCTGGGGAACCAGAAGGCACACATCCCACACCACCAGCTTCCTGTGTTCCCCAGGAGACATCAAGCAGGAAGGGGTTGGAGCCTTTCGAGAGGGGCCCCCCTACCAGCGCCGGGGTGCCTTGCAGCTGTGGCAGTTTCTGGTGGCCCTGCTGGATGACCCGACGAACGCCCACTTCATTGCCTGGACGGGCCGGGGGATGGAGTTCAAACTAATTGAGCCTGAGGAGGTGGGCCTCTCTGATGCCCCCACTGCTGCTGCGGACAGCTTTGGGGCCTGGAGGACTGAGAAAGGTGGCATGTGCCTTCACTGTCATCGCTGCTTCCTCTAGCCTGAATTCTTGCCAAGCCTAGCTCTGTGGGTCGGTGCTTAGTTGCAAGCTCATTAGCATTTTGCCCCAAGAATCTACGTGCTCTTTCTAATCTGCCCCCATGTTTCTGCTGCTGCGTTAGTATCTACATCCTAACACTGTCTCCTGTCCCCAGGTTGCCAGGCTCTGGGGCATCCAGAAGAACCGGCCAGCCATGAATTATGACAAGCTGAGTCGCTCACTCCGCTACTATTATGAGAAAGGCATCATGCAGAAGGTCAGGGCCTGGGGACAGCAGGGAGGGGCAGTAGCAGTCGTTGCTCATGGAATAGGGGGAGCTGGGGCGCCCTCAAAGAGCTGCAAGTTTATAGGAGCTGACAGTGAACGGGCAGGATGAGAAACTACAGTTTTGAGCTGTCTCTCTCCCCCCAAATTGCCAAACAGTAACTGAAAAGCCCAGTGCGTGGAGAGATTGAGATTAAAGGTGAACGAGAACCGGGAGGGGGTTGGCTCCTTGGCGGCACCAGCACCTGCAGAGAAATGTGCCTGCACACCTGGCCGGACCTGGAGAAGGGCTGCATCCCCCTGCCCTCCCCTGAGCTGGAGGGACCCCAGCTGACCTGGCCCCCGTCCCCACAGGTGGCTGGCGAGCGCTACGTGTACAAGTTCGTGTGCGAGCCCGAGGCCCTCTTCTCCCTGGCCTTCCCGGACAATCAGCGCCCGGCTCTCAAGGCCGAGTTTGAACGGCCGGTCAGTGAGGAGGACACAGTTCCTTTGTCCCACTTGGACGAGAGTCCCGCCTACCTCCCAGAGCTGGCTGGCCCTGCCCAGCCCTTTGGTCCCAAGGGTGGCTACTCCTTCTAGCCCCCAGCAGTGCCCACTGCCGCCCGTGGGAGCTGCCCTGTGTACATACAGACGAGTTCAGTGTTGAGGAAACCCTCACTCTGAAACCCACAGATGTCTTTGGGGCAGACCCTACTGTTCTGTCAGCTGCCCCAACCCAGACTCTGATCACCAGAGTGGATGGCAAAGTGGAGACACTGTAAGTGCAGACGTGGAGTCTCAGGCAACTTTGGGAGTCACCTTGGGACCTTCCTAGGTCTCACTCAGGCCCAGGCCACACACCCTCTCCCCCACCACAGAGAGGTGTTCTAGGGGAGTAAGGGGCTTCCCCACTTTATCCTGGTGGACAGGGGTACTTTGACTTCCCCTGGCTACCACTGTGGGGAGAGAAGAGCCTGGACCCTGCACTCTGCTCCAAGCTGTGGCCTTGGAGGGTCCTGCTGGTTGTTTTTTTTTTTGTTTGTTTGTTTGTTTTGGTGCTTTGTGTTCCCAGAGGTAGGGGAGGCTGGAGTGAGGAAACTGATCGGGAGGGGCTGTGGGTGGAGGCAGAGGGGCCTGGGCTCCTGCTCCAAGGCCCTTGCCTGGATTCGCTTCCCCTCCACGTCTGCCAGATCCTAATAAAGGCCCCTGCTTCTCCTGTTACTTCTGTGTCCTCTTTACTGCTGTGGAAGGGAAAGTGCCGGCCTTGGGATAGATGACTCATTTGGGATCAAGCCCTGACACCAACTTCTTGTCTGGGTCTGAGAAAAGACACTTCTGAAAAACGGGCTCAGGGGTACCTGTTCTTCCCTCTCCCGGGAGTCCTGAGTGAGCATCCAGGGACGATGGGTGAAGGGTGTGCTGTCTTCAGGCCCTGCAGCCTGGTTCCTTCAGGGACGACAGGAGGCAGGGCTGCTGAGCCTGGCGGCCCTGCCGAGCTTCCTCAGGCAGCATGGGTCCCGTGGTCAGTTAGGCCTATGCTACATGTAACCCCAACTGCCTTGGCTCCAGGATGCTAGTTTTGCTGAAGCTGAGGACAAGTTTGTAAGAAGATCTGGAGAATGGCAGGCGTGGGGAAGAGGGTGCAGGGAAAGGCCAGAGCAGACCCAGGGATCTGGTCATGCAGGGAAAGGACACTCCTGGGGAGAGTGGAACTGAGTAGGATGGAAGAGGGGCGGGGAGGTGGGGACAGGACAGCACAGGGCCTCTATACTTGTCCCTGGGCCCCCAGGAGTGAGGCTCAGACACAGACTCCAGGGCTGCAGCCACGCTTTGCGCCGGCGTTGGGATCAGCAACCCTCAATGCCAGCAGCCTCTGCCCTACGCATGCTGAGGACACGGCAACCCTTGCAGGAAGGGATGCTTCTCACCTACAAGCCACAAATAAACAGCATTTTTTGCCCTAGAAACACAAACTTTCAATGTATGTTTACAGTTTACCACAAGAAGCAAAAATCCAAAATCCAAGGTTTTGAAAAAATATATGTAATTGTACATTAAAGCCAGGCTCTTGTGGTGGGAAGAGGCATGTGCAATGAGGGAAACCCTGAGGGCGCACATGGGTGAGAGCAGCAGAGTGAGAGGAGTAGCAGCAGCCTGGAAAGATCTAGGCTGAGACCTCTGCCCTTTGTTCGTTAACAAGCCACAAGCCACTCCCCACAGTGTCCGCTTTGTTCAAATCCTCACGCTTGAGGAAACCGCTCTGAGGAGAAAGCCAACACCCAGACAAGGTGAACCCCAGACCAAGGAGCCTGACTCAGCAGCAGCGCTCACACTCCCCCTCACACAAGCACACGCCCAGCACGTGAACAGGGGCAGCAAACTCCTAGGCTTCCACAGGGTCAGAGTGACCAATATACTTTCCTGGCCTAGAGGATTCCAGCTCCCCGCACAAGACCCACATCCTCTTCAGGGCTGTCACTCAATGTCGGGGAAATTCTCGTTCAAGGAGAAACAAGGGCTGCATTGTGTGGGAGCAGCAGGCAAACCCTCCTTCCCAACCTGGCTGGGAGCCCAATTCTCCCTCTGAGCCAGCTCCGCTCTGTTGCCTACATGCTGTTTCCTGATGGACAGTCACAAGGTCAGCCCCCAGCCATGTGTCAGAGCAGAGAGGTGACCCCAGCTTTTGGAAGAGAGGCTCAGGGACACCCACATAGCTGGGGCCCTTTCTGTTCTCCTAACCCAGAAAGAGGGTCAGTTCCACTGTCTCACAGAGGTGCTCAACCTCAACTTAAAACCCTCACCCCCTTGGGGGCCACGAGTTCTGAGGTGCCACTGCCCTCAGTGCTGGTCACTCCACTGGGACAGGCAGCTGCCTACTAAAGTGACTTTTATTACTGAACTTGATAGACCTGGGCTGGAATTAAGTTGGGGGAACTGGGAGCCCAGGCCCCATTTCTCTCAGATTCCTCTGTGATCCCAGCACGGACTCCCCCTACAAGGCTTTCAAGGTTAACACAGGAAGCTCCGGGGCCCTGAATTGCTGCCCACGGCTTCCCAAGGCACACTCAGAAAGAAGGTGCTCATTCAGCGCAACAAAGGGCAGGAGCTGCTGTCAGCAGGCTGTCCTGCCTGCGCGCCTCTGCGTTCTCTGAAGTGTCTTTAGATGGTTGGTTTGTTGCCCAATGACGGCCCACACTCCTTCCTATTCTAGAGCCTCTTATAGTCTCTTACTGTCTCTGAAGATCTCTGGTAGTTCCAGCATTCTATCCTTTCAGAACTCACTGGTGTGGAGCCGGGGCGGCAGCAAGGCCACACTGAGGGTGCGCCTAACGCCAGGAGCACCTCCTCAAAGTGGACCTCGACACCAATTTTCCAAAGTCCCACAACCCGCCTGGCGGCATCTGCCTGTTGTTTTCTTCCAAGTATAGACCCTGGTCGGGACCTGTGGGAGGGGCAGGAGTCGGCCAACCCCCAAATGAATGCCAAGAGGAAACCACTAAGCGAAGCTGAGATGCTGGGTAGCACAAACCAGACCAGGGGTGTTGTGTTGGGGTTGGGGGCGGGGGGCTGTTGAGGATTTGGGAAGCGGGGGAAGGATAAAAAACCATGCTACTGTTTAGCATGTTTCAAAAGAGGGCAGGCTGCAATCATGAGCCTGGCGGGGCGGTGAGAGGGGGCAGGAAGCCTGCTGTGATCCGAGGCAGCATCTGCAAGCGCCCTGCGCCAGACAGCAGCGCCTGTGGCACGTGGTCACCACGTGATCAGCAGCAGAGCTGGGCTAGTGCAGTGCCCAGAGACAAGACAGGAGAGGAGGTCCACGCTGAGCTTCACCTCCCAGCCCAAAGCAGCCCAGGCTCTGGTTTCAGGGAACTCTACCACATGCCCTGAGACCACATACTAAGTCTCCTCTACCCTAAGCCCAGGCCAATATCCTAACCTTTCGGCTATAAGAAACAGCCACAGAAAACCATTTTTGTTTCCTTAAGAAAATAAATATTTCCCGGAGGTTAAACAAAAAGTGTAGGGGCTAGACAGGGGCAAGAGATGGGGCCAAGGCTTTAAATGAGCTTCGTGACTCTGCTCCAGTAGCAGCAGCTAGGGTATTAGGGCCCTCACTGCACCCCGGTGCCAGACACTCAAGATCCCCTCTTCCTTCCTTGGAGGTGAGGCCATGTACCACCATGCTGGCTGTGAGGCCTGGCTGTTCCCAGTGACATGGGCCTGGGATTTGAAGGCTCCAGTGAAGCCAGGCTTAACCGCCCGTTTCGATTTTACCAGGGTAGAAATCAGTCAAGTTCACGAAATGCCCAGTTAAGATACTCAGCCACAGCACAGCTGTATACTCAGCCCAGCCTTCCATATAAAAAGAATGAAGCCAAGCCCTGGCCTGGTGCTGCGGGAAGCAGACAAACGGCTTCTCAGCGCCGCCTGAAGGCCCGTGATATTCTCCAGGCGTTGGGCTCCTCGTAGCGGTTGTACAAAGGCTCCAGACGCTGCTGCTTCTTCTGTTTGCTTAGCTTGGTTGGGTCGGAGACCTTGAAGAAGGCTGGGGCAAACTCCACAAGCCACCGGGGGTCGATGGTGGTGACCTCACGCATGTACTCCTTCGTGGTCAGCACCAGCTCGTGGTACACCACCCTGAGGGAAGAGACGGGGCGCAAGCCTCAGAGACAGTCCCCACTCCATAGTCCCTGGGCCCTGGTGGGCCTCAGCTGAGCTACCTCCACCCACTTACCTTCCCTGCCTTACCCAGGACTGAGGCTGCGTACCACAAGAACCCGTCAGGTGCTCTAGTCCTGGTGCTGGTTCTAACTAGTTAAGTGATATGGGTCAGTCACTCCCTTCTCTGGAGTTCAGTTTCCTGCTTTGTCCAGTGGAACAGTAGCCTTTCAGGCTGTGTCCACAGAACCACAAGGCCCTGAAGAGGAGCCTTAGGGGCTGCCACAACGGTGGGGAAGGCGAAGCAGACAAGGCTTTACATCCCTAACCCTCTTGCTACCACAGTGGCAGAGCAGCTTTATTTTAAAAATTTCTTTATTTGTGCATACAGAACTGGGGTACAGGCCAGCGGTGCAGCGGGGGTGAGAGGATTCACCAGAGCAGTGTGGGGAGCAGAACAGGCAGACTGATGAAATATACTGCTGAGGGGAGCAGCAGGAGACAGAAGTCTGCTGTGCCATGTGGGTCAGCGCCCTGGCTGGGGAGGGTCCGGCAGAGCAGCTTTAAATCAATTCTATACAAGGGCTGCAGGTAAGTTAAGACTCCAACTTCTTAAATGCCACTTGAAAAGAATTTTTCTTAACCACTTTACTAAACAATCTCTTAGCTCTTACCTTATATATTTCTCTCAAAAGAGCCTGATACTGTATCAAATTCAGACTTGTGTTGCTCCAGAAATAAAAGCAACATTAGAAATGCTGAGAAGGGCCCTCCCGGATGGCACAATAGGTTAAAGCACAGCACTATGAAGCTCTCCACAGCTCTGCAGCACGAGTTTGATCCCCGGCCAGGGAGCTAACCCACATGGCGCAACAGACTTCTCCTGTCTCCTGCTGCTCCCCTCAGCAGATTTCACTAGATCTGCCTGTTCTGTTCCCCACTGTGAATCCTCTCATGCCTGGACTCTCTGGCCTATACCACAGTTCTTGTATGCATAAAGAAAGAAATCTTAAAAAAAAAGAAAGAAATGCTGGGAAGACACCACTGGGTGCAGTGACGTACGGGCTCTCTGCCCAGAACAGCCCCCCTCATGCCCACCTACCATTCCGGCTGTCTGTTGAAGAGAGCACTGGAAGGATGGATGTACACCACCTGCTGGTCGATCAGTGTCCGGTAACCCTCCTGTGGGTCTTTCTTGGCAGCATTGCGGAAGAAGCCACTGCAGATGGCCTTCTGCACTCGGACGGTGGACTTGCCACAGGAGACCACATCCAGTTTGTGTCTACCAGGAGAATGAATCAAAATGGGACAAAGAGGTGAGCCTGCTCTGCTTTCAGAGGTTCTACCTTCCAGTGACAGAAGCCAACACTCCCAGTTGAGTGCTCGGACAGTAGCTGGACCCTCCTCCCAGCCCTGCCTACACAGGGGAAGCTGCACACAGTGGACAGGACAGGTGTCACAGGAGCCAGACACTGGGTTCCACTTGACCAGTAATGCTCCAGAGGCTTGTAAACAAAATATTTTTCCAGGAACTAATAATTTTCTTCTCAGGAATTTTCTGAAGTGATTTTCAGGGGTACCCTTCCCTGAGGAGTATAAAAAAGACAGAAAAGCTGGAAGAAGGACTACGTGAAGGGCGAGTGTACAGGTGCCTGTGGCTTTATAGGTACAGAGACAGCAGACTTGACATTCAAGGAGGTTCAACCCAAACATGAGAAGTCACCAGATGTTACCTGTCCATTATGCCCAACATCTGCTTGCGAATGTCTTGGGCCCGGCGCAGAGAGCGAGCCTGGATAAAGTTCTCATAGCACCATGGATTGGAGAACTTGTTGTTCTTCCAGGAGTTATACACGGCTAACAGGGTGAGGTGATCCCCTTCAGTCTGGTGGAACTTGGCCTTCTTCTGATCTGCAAGGGCTTGTTTATCCTGCCAAGAAGTAGGACAGAGGTTGAAGTGCCCCCCAACAACCATTTAAGATTTGTTTTTGCATATAAGAACTAGGGTATGGACCTGAGGTGTGCGGGGTGGTGATAGGGGTGGTGGTGAGAAGATTCAGCAAAGACAGAGTGGAGAGAACAAGCAGACCTACTGAAATACTCTGGGGAGCAGTGGGTGAGACAGGAGAGGTCTGCTGCGCCATATGTGGGTCAGCTCCCCAGCTGGGGATCGAACTCAGGCCACCACAGAGGGCTGTTGCAGTGGACGGGCTGAGACTTAACCCCTAGGCCACCAGGGAGTCCCCCTCCCCAGAACTACTAACTGAATATCCAGCCACTCTAAGAAGCCCTAAGTAGCCTTGTCAAATGTCCACATCAACCACTGCAGTTACAACAGGCTGATTTCAGCCATCATCACTGCACACCTATCTGAAAGTGGGTGCAAACTCCCTACCTTGGGTCTGTAGAAGACGTTCTGCACAGACAGCATGGACACGATGGTCAGCATTTCTTCACTGCAGCCCAGGTGCACAGACATGATCAGCATTTTGCACAGCATTGGTTCCAGGGGGAATTCTGCCATCTACAGGGAGAAGAAGAAAGTGCAACTGCTTCCCCTGGGAAGACAGTCTGGACCGGCCAGCCTGAGGACACCCTCCCGCCAGTGAAGGAAGCAGACCATAGGAAGTTTACCAGAGCATGACATAGGATACCTGTCTCTATTAGAATGTGGTTTTTATTTTTTATCTCCCAAGTATACCCCAAAGGAATGTATGTGACCAAGAATATGGCTACTGCTGAGGTAGGTGGGAATTTCAGACAGCTTTTAAAACGAAGGCTAGACCCAGTCATATATCCTGAGATAAAGATCAAGTGCAGACAGAATTCCTTTTTCTGTAAAGTACTTTTAAGTGTTCGTAAAAAACCCAGGTTAAAAGCAGACATCTGTAATTGTACTCCAGTTCGTCTAGGACCTGATTTTGATTTTATACAGAACAAAAAGTTAGACTAGCTAGCCAGGCATTCTCCCCAGAGCACCAGAAGTCTGTCTCCTACCCTGCGACCCAGGCGAGTGAGGAGGCCCTCATCATCCAGGGCGCCCAGCGTGTACAGCTGCTCCATGGCTGTGATCAAGGTCTCCATGGGTGGCGCATCCATGAAGTCAAAGGACAGCAGGTCATTGATACCCATGGCCTAGAAAGGGAGGGAGGAGACAGGTGAAGGCAGGTCAGCCGTGCAGTGTCAGCATGGAGGAAGACTACATGTTGTTCTCCTGCTTCCTCAACTGCATGAGGGAGCCACCAGGCGAGATTAGCAGTAACTTCCAAGTCTGGGTGCCACAAAACACGGCCTATTAAAAGTCAAATGCTTTTGAGTCCTCCCTGGTGGTGCATCAGGTTGAAGCACAGCACTGTGAAGCTGGCCCCAGCCGCTTCAGAATATGTTTGATCCCTGGCTGGGGGGGTTGACCCACGAGGCGCAGCTGTCCCTCCTGCTGCTCTCCCTGGCAGGGTATTTCAGTCAGTCTGCCTGTTCTGCTCCCTACTCTGTCTCTGGCGGATCCTCTCACCCCCACACCTCTGGCCTATACACCAGTTCTGTATGCATAAATAAATAAATCTTAAAAAAAAAAAAGCAAATGCTTTCTCAGAAAACTTAAAAATACTCATTCAAAATGACAGTACATGTAACTGAACAACAAAAAGATATTCAATTTTAAAATGGACAAAGGATTTAAATAGACTTCTCCCAGGACGATAAACCAATGACCAACAAACACATGAAAAGTTTATTACCAGTAACTAGGAAAATACAAATGAAAATCATGAGAAACCTCATCAGACTCCCTGAGATGGCTAAGAACAGAAAATAATAAGAACTGGCAAGATCAACAAGAATCCCCATGTAGTGCTGGTGGGAATGTAAAATAGTGCAATCACTGAAGAATAATCTGATGATCCCTCAGTAAGTTAAACACAGAATTAAACAGGCCCCAGCACCTTCACCTCCAGACACTGATCCAGCAGAACTGAAAGCAGGGACTCAGAGCTCTACTAATGTTCAGCAGCGTAACTCACAACAGCCCAAAGGAGGAAACCACTCACATGTCCAACATGATGGGCAAACAAAATACACATGACATACACACGTAATAAATATGATCTACCTCAAGAAAGAGATGAAACTCTGACACCTGCTACAACAGGATGAATCACGAAAACATTAAGTAAACTCAGATACAAAAGGACAAGTATTGTATGACTCCACGAACAGGCAGTGGGATGATGAAAAAATCGGGAAACAGACAGTAGAGATGGATGCATGACATTACAATGCCACTGAGTCCTACATTTAAAAAAGGTTACAATGGTAATGTGTTGTGTATCTCACTACAATTCAAAAATACTAGCTTAACTGTTTCTTGCATAAATCATTTCTACTGTGCATCTGGGAGGTGCCTGGCACCCTGATCCTGACACATGGTAGGGACATGAGATGACTAAGATGTGGTCCCTGCTCTCAGAGGTCACAATGGTGAGCGACACTGACACAGGCATGGAACCATGACAACCCAGGGCAACCTGCGTGCTCGGCAGAGTGGGTATTCAATACACTTGCTAGATACCTGGGTGAATAAAAGAAATGACTGATGATGACTATCCAAGTGTGTAATGGGTGCTGTGGGAGGACCGAAGCGTGCTGTCCCCCCTGTAAAATGATCGTGACCATAAACACAGCAGGTGTCCTGCAAATGCCCACCGCATGAATAACAACACAAGGAATGAAGTTCCTGTAGTCAGTAAGCTTTTTGCCATGTGCCTTTACCTGCGTTTTCCCATTTATCTCACACTACATACCGTTATCACCTGCCCCCTCCCTGCCCACCCCCCTCCTCCTTGTAGAGCAGATAAAGAGCAGAGGGCCAAGGAGATAAATTTGCCAAAGACACATGGCTTGGAGTATAAGTTTGACCCACAGATGTTTCGTTTGCCCTGGAGAGATTGAGGCAGTTTTTTTTTAAAAGCTGATTTAGCCTCTCTTACAGAACTAAATAATAAATGACAAGAGAGCACTCTGCACCAGTAAAGTGCCAGGACTCCAGGGCAGCATCAGTGTTGGGGCGGAGGGGGAGGATGCCATCATCTGGGAAATTATTCATGCAGTTGCCCTTGCCAAAAGAGAATGAAGGTCCTCACTGGGGACTGAAAAGCAGTGATTCAGAATAAAAACCAAGCCCCATTGGGCCAGTCTGAAACCTGTACTGACAGTTCCCTTGCAAAGTTTTTGCATTGGGAGTTTTGCTTCCGTTGTAAAAGAAAAGAATTGGACCTAAAAGCTTAAGGGGTTAAGGGAAGTGAATTTGTCCCCAGTTTGGCACCAATTAGATTTCTCTAATTTCCTTTTAGAAACTGCTCCTAACTAAAATCTCTTACAACCAAATATCCTGCTGGCTCTTATGGTAAGAAAAAAATGTGTGTTCACAGCAGACATGCCAAGTTAGTCCCAGACCCATGGCGGAGAGGCTGTTATCACAGCCACTCACGTTTCCCTCTGAGGGACTGCTTGCATGAGGTCACTAACATATTTAATAAGGTCCATAAAACAGATTCAGTGACTAACAGTGATGTCTACCTTAAGAGAGAGCACTGTGCTAGCTAAGTTGGTTCTCTGGATTTCTGGCACGTTGGTGGTCAGCATCTCATCTCGGTAGGCGCGCTCTGTGTACAGCCGGTAGCACTTCCCTGGGCCTGTCCGCCCAGCTCGGCCAGCTCGTTGCTTTGCCTGAGCCTAGAAAGGAAGGTACATAACAACACATAAGTATCTTTTACACAGAACTTAAGAGCTTTCCCCAGGAAATCTATTCAAAGGAGGGCACGGAGCACCTGACAAAAACCAGGTATGTGATTTACTTCACTTTTTTTTTTTCTTTAAAAGATTTAATTTCTTATGCATACAGAACTGGGGTACAGGCCTGAGGTGGCAAGAGGATTCACCAGAGACAGAGTGGGGAACAGAACAGGCAGATGGACTTAAATACACTGCTGAGGAGAGCAGTGGGTGGGTCACTCCAGGGCCAGGAATGGAACTCACATTGAAGCGGCCACTGCTAGCTTGCAGTGCTGCACTTTAACTCGCTGCACCACCAGGGAAGGCCTACTTCACTCTCTTTAGGACCATTTCCAAGACTACCAAACTCACATCATCCCCCCTCATATACTCAACATTTCAAGAGTTCGTTCAAGGCAGGCAAATAAATATGAGCGAGGGGCGTGGAAGACATTTTATAAAGATCACAAAAACAGATCTTTGAAAAGTGTAGCATAACATAAATGAGAAAACACAAAACAAGATAAAAGACCACTCCCGGCACACGGGTGACATGGTGATGGGAAACCCACGGGGACTGCAATTGAGATGGGGAAAAAAAAATGTACAAAATGATGTAAAAATAAACTGTTATAAAAAAAAAAAAAAAAAAAAAGACCACTCCCAGGCCCTCCCTGGTGGCGCAATGGGTTAAAGCACAGCAGTGTGAAGCTAGCTGCAGCTGCTTCAGCGCAAGTTTGATCCCCGGCCAGCAGGTTGACCTGCATGGCACGGCAGACCTCTCCTGACCCGCCTGCTGCTCCCCTCAGCAGTGTACTTTGTCAACTTGCCTGTTCTGCTCCCCATTCTGTCTCTGGTGAATCCTCTCACCACCCCTGTACCTGTGGCCTGTACCCCAGTTCTGTATGCATACATAAATAAATCTTTAAAAAAAAATACCACCCCCACAGTTATAATGAAAAATATAAGTGAACTAAGTAAAGTAATGTTGATCATGCTGATGAGGGCTCTACAGCTGTAATAAAAATCAGGTTTGAGATATTCAATGTCTTAAAGAAAGGTTCCCAACTGAAAAAGTAGTAAGTTACAAAATAAGACAATTCTAATTTATTTTGAAAAATTTACTTGTAGACATAAACTAACCGAAGGAAAGGACTTGGGGGAAATACCCTTACATGCTGACTGTGGCTAAATGATGGAAGGCTTGCGGCTGAGTTCTATTTTCTTTATCAAATATTCAATATTTAATATGTGCTATCTTAATAATTAAGCAAATTTAATAATTAAGCAAGACATATGCAAAACTGCAAGCTAACTAGACTACCAGAATTGCAAACACTTCTGAAAAGTTGAGCAAGAAAAACATCAAACGATAACAGAAGTGTTAGTAGGATTATGAATAACGTCTTTCTACCTATTCCCAAAAAATAATGCAATGTTATTTCTGCACTAGGTATGCACACACATGTGTGTGTATACCTAGTATACATGTATGTAGAGAGAAAGATTAAATACATGTATCATTCCATATAATGATAATATATGTAAATTATCATTGCTAGGGAAGTGAAAAGCAATCTGGAAAAGGCTATTTTCTGTAAAATATCTGTCTTACAAATAGTATCAGGATTTACAAAATGCTATGCCGGCTCCAAACCAAAAGATGGAGGACAGGACACTAACGACACAAAGCCAGGCAGCACTCACACGCCAGGACAACTGCAGATGCCTCGCTCCAATCAGCAAGGACAAGTGTGACTCAATTTCTCAATTACGCACACCACTCTAAGGAGAAGTGGTACAGAGTACACACACTGGTTCACATCCTTGCTCCAACAGCTGTGTGACCTCAGGCAAGTCACTTAACCCTTCTGCGCTTCAGTCTCTTCATCTCTGAAATGATGACACCTGCCACAAAGGCTTGACGTGAGCCTGGAATGTGTGAAAGCAGCTAAGACTCGGCGGGCGCTTAGTAGGCCCCTGCCAGCGTCAGCAACTACTTCAATTGTTGAGTGAAAGCAAGCTGATGGTTTTTAAAGATTATGAAATACCGTTATATAAAATACTAAGCCCTGTTATGTAAATTACATTATAAAAATACTAAACAATATATAAAAGAGTGAAAAAAATGCATTTCACTCATTGACACAGTAACGAGAAGCACCAGCCAGGGATAAGCTCGGGTAACACGCTGACTGCGCGCTTCAGTCTCAGGCACACCTTGCTCACACACTGCACAAGTGTACACCATCTATTTTTAAACAAAAATTGGATTATACTGTTCATGCTGGTGTTTTTCAAACAATACATCAGGGTTACAAGCTTCCCTCATTAAATATAGATACACACCACCGTGTTCATGCCACGCTTCATTCTACAGCATGGACATACCATCATTTATTAAACTACTTCCCCTCTGGAACTCAGAATTTTTCCAGGTTTCCTCTAATATAAACAATGCTTTAGTGAACACTCTTTTTCTCTTACCTTTAAATATATATGTTCCACCACTTCTAACTTTCAACTACACTCCTAGAAGTAGAACTATTAGATTAGAGATGAACTTTTACATTTTGGTTACAATTGAGGCCAAGCTGCCTTCAACAAGGATGATCGGGGGCCCACCTGGTGGTACCAGGGGTCAAGTCTCAGCCCTATGAAACTGTCCACAGCCACTGCAGCATGAGTTCAATCCCCAGCCAGGGAGCTGACACACAGCACAGCAGACCTCTCCTGACCCATCCACTGCTCCCCTCAGCAATGTACTTCAGCAGATCTGCCTGTTCTGCTCCCTGTCTCTGGTGAAGCCTCTCAACCCCACAACCCACCACACCTCTGGCCTGTACCCCAGCTCTTGTATACATAAATAAGTAAAAATAAAACTTAAAAAAAAAAAATAGGATGACCAGGTTATTCAATTTCTAGTATAATCAAGGCATAAAATTATTCCATAATTACCAAAGAAACACAAAGCCATTCCATAATTATCACTAGATAGCTGTGGCTCCGAATAGTACTTTTTTTTTTTCCCATACAGTACTTTTGAAGACATTTTCAGGTCATCCAGAGAGCTGAGATTCAAACTTACAAGTGTAAGTTTTAGGGGCTTTTTTTTTTTTTTTTTAAGATTTATTTATTTATTCATACAGAACTGGGGTACAGGCCAGAGGCTCAGGGGCGGTGAGAGGATTCACCAGAGACAGAGTGGGGAGCAGAACAGGCAGATCGACGAAGTACACTGCTGAGGGAAGCAGTGGGCGGGTCAGGAGAGGTCTGGCTCGCCAAGTGGTCTCCTCCGGGGCAGGCTGCAGGCGGGAATCGAACTCATGCGGAAGTGGCTTCAGATTCTCAGTGCTGCGCTTTAACCCGCTGCGCCACCAGGGAGGGCCTTTAGGGGCTTTTTAATGTGAGACACTGTTCTAAAAATTAAAAACAATCTCCTGAAGCTCACAAAAACAGTTATCTTAAAAGTTCATCTTTGAAAATTATCATAGAGTTCAAAAAATTTCAGAACCCAGGATTTTCAGGAAAGCTGCTGGTAAAAGCCACCATACCTGAGAAATAGGAGTCACCACGAGCTGGTCAATCCCTGTCTTGGAATTGTACACTTTCTGCTTCACGAACCCAGGGTCTACCACATAGTAGATGCCGTCGATGGTCAGCGACGTCTCTGCGATGTTGGTGGCAATCACGACCTGCAGGCAACAGGGACACAGCCGGATGAGCCACCCAGGTTAGTCCTGAGGTGTGCGATGGACTCCTGAACTCAGTCATCTCCCCAAAGGAGTGTGTGATCAGCTTCCTCCCTAGACAATTAGATAGCACTTAATCTCAGTTTGCATGCAAAAGGAGGGAAGAGGAGGGGACCTTTACCTTAAGGGTTAGGTCTTTGGGGGGGTGGGGGGTTGGCACCTGAGCAGTGGAATAGGGAAAAGCTGAGGCAAATTAAAGCCAATTTCATTTGGCACTAATGACTACATATCTCATTTTCTAGATCCAATGTTGATTACTACAATTTTAATTTTCCAGCACCCTGGGAAAGAGATTTCCTGGTATCACATGTGCCAGTGCTAAATGAGATTTTTCTTCTCCCATGGGGACATCTGGACTACAAAATGGGCTGTTTGTATATGTGGAACAAGAAGGAGCGTTTTTTTTTTCTGATCATAAAATGAACCATGAGGCGGCAGAAGCATTTCCGTGTGTGTGTGTGCAGCAGTATATGTGATCTAGAAGATTATTGGTCTCAGCTTGGCACTGCCACTGTTCTTGCACCCAGAGGTTCAGCTAATAAAACATGATTGCTTGAAAAAAATCATTGCTAGGAGGCACCAGAACAACCTGCATTTACCAGCCCTGAAAAGGCTCCCACCTCTCAGCGCCGCAGAAGCCCTGCTGAGAAAGACCAGCCGTCAGGAACAAAACAGTGGACTCACTACCTCTCCCCTGGCACCTGCTCCTCACCCATGTTTCTCTCCTCAGCACCATCTTCCACTCAGGTGCCCACACCAGAAACCTGGGAGTCATTCCTGACTGCCTTCCTGCCTCTTTCCCTCTCCCTACCGGCACCCACCATGTCTTTCTCCTTCTAATCATGAATGTTAGTCAAGTCCATCTGCTTTCCATTCTTAAGTATATACTCAGGAGAAATAAAAATATATTCATGGGCCCTCCCTGGTGGCACAGCGGGTAGGAGCACTGTACTGCCAAGCTGGCCAAGCCATGGTCACTTCAGTGCAACTTCGATCCCCGCCCTCGGAGATGACCCACACAGCACAGCAGACCTCTCCTGTCTCATCCGCTGCTCCCCTCAGCAGTGTACTTCATCCATCTGCCTGTTCTGTTCCTCATTCTGTCTCTGGTGAATCCTACACTTCTGGCCTATATCCCATTTCTGAATGAATAAATAAATAAAATCTTAAAAAAAAAATACCTTCATGCAAAAACTAATCCATAAATGTTCACAGCAGCATTATTCATCCTAAGTACAATGTGGATACTTCTCAAATGCCTGTCAACTAATGACCGAGTAAACAAAATGTAATATATGCACATTTTAGAAGCAGACTATTCCATAATAGAATATTACTTGGAAACAAAAAGAACAGAAGTATTAAACATGCTACAACATGGATGAACTTTGGGTACAGTGAAGTGAAAGAAATTAATCACCAAGGACCATATATTAGGCTATTTAAGTGAGATATCCAGAACAGGCAAATCCATAGATAAAAAGTAGACTGGTGGTTCCCAGGGTCTAAGAGAAGGGTGAATGGCAGATGGCAGCTGCTAAAGGGTACAAGACTTGTTGGGGGATGATGAAATGGTGCTAAAATTAAATGATTAAAAGATTAATTATCAATAATAGTTCACTTCTGTGAATATGCTAAAAACCACAGCTGTATGCTTTCAAAGAGTGAACTGTATGACATGTACAGTTCATATCCCCAGTAACGCTGCTAATTAAAAAAGAATGTTTCTTTTCTCATTGTCTCTACATAAGCTTAGACAATCCCTCCCAGCTACTGGAACCAGGCAGCTGCCTGAAATGGCCACACTTGCTCACGTCCAGACTGTCACAGCCCTGTTCACTCTTAACTCAGAATTGCATCCTCCTGCTCTCCTTACCTGGAGGAACATGCGTGTGCTCTCCAGGACTAACTTAGATGTTTACTTCCTCTAAGGGGACTGGCTGGGGCTCCTTCTGGGGTTCCCCAGACTGTCAACACCACTTTCACACTCTATGTAAATGTCCCACTGCAGCCGGAAGCCTGCTCTCAGGCTGCAGTCCTGTGTCTGCTCAAGTCTGGTAGATGCTGAAACAGTATTTGCTGAATGAAAGGAAGGGCAGGGATCACCTACAGGACCCTCAGTCCTTAACAGACTGGTGAGACTAGTCTCTAAAACATACCAAACAAGACCAGCACACACCGAAGGAATCCCCATGGAGCCAGATATCTATGCCACATGGCTTCAGAGCACACAGGGCTTCATTTCTGTCCCAGACATACCTTTCTGCTGCCAGGTGGAGCTGGGTCAAAGATTCGTGTCTGCATTTCACTGGGGAGAGCAGAATACACTGGAAGGATGATCAGCTCTGGAACATCAGGTCCCAGGGATTTCATTCTTTCATAAAGAATCTCACAAGCAGTGTCAATCTCTTCCTGACCAGTCAGGAAAACAAGAATATCACCTAAAAAGAGAATAAGGACAATAACTTACTTTCTGATCCTGTGTGTTCTCTACAGAGTCCATCGTGACATTAATGGAGCTCCAAGTGACAGACAGACTCACAGTCTGACCTTTAATAAGTCAAGGTTTTTAGCTCACCATGTTGTTTTTTTAACCCCTCAGCAGTACATTCAGTGCATCTGCCTGTTCTGCTCCCCATTCTCTCTCTGGTTAATCTTCTCAACCCCCCACCTCTGGCCTATACCCCAGTTCTTGTATGCATAAATAAATACATCTTTTAAAAGAAAACTTGTGTCTGTGCTCAAAGGTGTATTCAAGCCCTGCACACCATATTTACAACATGCAAGCCTGAGACCTACAAGGGCACCAATATTTAAAAGGTATTTTTCAAAAGAAAAGCAAAAAAAGAGACCCAGTTCAGGACACTGGCCTAAGAGGAAAAAATGCCCTTTGTTCTACCTGGTGGTTCTGTTAAATGGATCTGCATGACAGTGATCAAGCTGGCATCCAAATAATCCGTCTCAGGTTCCTTTGTGTACAGTATTTCTACTGGGTATGTTCGTCCTGGGATGGTGAAAATAGGAGCTTCATAGAAGTACTGAGAAAACTTCACTGCATCCAACGTGGCCGAGGTGACAATCAGCTTCATGTCCTGCCGTTTCTGAACTGTCTAAAGGGAAATGTAAAGCAGTTCACCAAAAAGGACCGTCCTGAAGGCTTAAGTGTGCGAATCTAATCCCAGAATCAGTTCCCAACAGGTAGAAGAGGCCCACCAGAGAGGACCTGGTTACCTTTTTCAACAATCCAAAAAGCACATCAGTGTGGATCGTCCTCTCGTGCGCTTCGTCCAACATGATAATGGCGTACTGCGTGAGGTCGGGGTCAATGAGGCACTCTCGGAGCAACATCCCGTCTGTCATGTACTTGATGACTGTTTCGGGGCTGGTGCAATCTTCAAATCGAATGGTGTAGCCCACCTAAAGCAGAACAGAAGCTGAGAACCTAGGACGTGAACCTCTCCTTTATGCAATCACTAGGCAAGATTTCAGCCTGGCAAGACTACTTGGCCATAATCTTAGTAAGATAAGGACATTTCTGTACATCTCTGCACCTCTTTGACCAAGACACAGTGATTTCCTTATAGCAAAATCTGCCTTGGACTTAATCTTTACAAGATCAATAATGACAAAAGAGAACCTTCCCACTCCCCAGGAAAAATCTGAGCTAGAGTTTTGGGCCTTTCCATTTTCCTTCTGTTTCTTCACTTCCACTCACCTCTTGGCCTAAGCAACAACCAAACTCTTCTGACACTCTTTTGGCCACCGACATGGCTGCCACTCTCCTGGGCTGGGTGCACCCAATCTTGCCCCTGGAAGTGTAGCCTGCCTCCGCCAGGTACTGCGTGATCTGTGTTGTCTTTCCAGATCCTGTCTCTCCGATAACAATCAGGATCTGATTGTCATGGACAGCCTGAAGCAAGAAAATATAAATACAGTCATTAGAATTTGCTGTATGTTAATGCTAGTAAAATAATTCCTGCTTAGGAGAAGAGGATACAACAGAATACACGTGGGGGGATTATAACCAGGGTTTAATTTATTTTTAGTCATGCATAGAAAAAAACATCAGTGGTGATTTTTTTATGTGTGAACTTTATCTTAATTGCTCTCTATATGACAGGTTTAAAAATTTCAATGTTTGGGTATTCTTTTCCTAACAAACAGAAATTTACTTTTTTCAAAGTTATTGGCTTTCTTACATTCATAAAAACAATGATGATGCTAAAAGCATAAGCCATCAGATATTGCTGATATTCCAATATCCCTGATACCGTATGTATTTTCAAGTATTACATACATGTGGTTTAAAAATTCAACAGTACATTTTTTAAAGTACAGAAAAAGCATTCTTTTCTACTGCCATTCCCTAATCTCCTACTGCTCCCCAAGTCACTTCTTACCTACACTGTTGCTATCAGCACAGGATCACTGTGTCTGCACCAAAACGCAAAGGCCAAAACGCAGTAAACAAAAATAAGAAACAAACTCTGAACTATATCTTTAAGGGGAAAAGCAAGATGCAGAAGAATGTATATATCACCATCTAAAACACACGTAGTACACAGCAAACAGAGTGTGGGAACATACATTTGCACTTGCTTTTATATGCACCTGCTGGAAATTAGTAAACTCAAGGTGCCTCACGAAGGTCTGGTGGTCTTAAAAACAGATCTTGAGAATATGGGAGTAAATACCCAAAGTCCCTGCCAACATGGCGCTGCTAGCCAAACAGGCCCATTTTTCTTAGTGATCAGAGCTGTTGATTCATGTGACACAATACTCCACCCACTTGAACTGCTCCCCCAGTTCAGATTTATTTCCCCATACAGAAAAAACTGTATAGACTAATACACATATTTTAAGTACCTGAAAACATTTTGCTTTTTTCTATCCTCTTTGAAAAAGCCACTTCAAATATACACACACCTATCCAGCTAATTTCAATTTTAAAATGACATCTTTCTTTTGAAAACACCCTATACCCTCCCCCAGCTCCAACCAATAGGGCATAAAGGGGCTTCTCACCTGGACCAGCTGCTCCTTGAGTTTGTAAATGGGCAGGCTCTCTCTCTGCTCAATGATTGACATCTGGGTCTTCTTCCCATAAGAAGCTTTGTTGCCCCCAAAAGCATGCTTCTTCCACTCAGGAATGTCGTTGGGCATCATCCCAATACCCCTCATGTTGGCAGCAATCTGCCGGCCTTCCGCTGGGAAGGAAAACAGGAAACTCAGTGTTGCCCTCAGGCCCTCACTGCCCTTTCCCCTGTAATCAAGCAATTGCATTTCTCAGGTACAGCCCCCGCCCTGCTTCACCTCGCTCAAGCCACAACCTCCTCCTCTGGACTACTCCAAAAGCCCGATTCATGTCAGGTGTCTACTCTTGTCCCTCTAATCCAACCTGAGGGGCCCTCAATAATCCTTTGAAAATGCAAATCTCCCCTGCTTAGAGCTTAACATTTCCCGATGTGCCCAGAATTGAACACGATTCCTAGTGCCACCTACAAAGTCCTGGCATGACACCCCTCATCACCCACAACCTCGCTGGCTGCTCTCTGCACACTAGCTGCATAGAGCACCTTTCAGATCTGCCTCCCCACCTCACAATCCCAGCACAGGCCAGTGTTCAGCTAGAAACACGGTCCCCAGGCTCCACCTCATTTCTCTTTGAGAGACTAAGTTCTATTTATCCTTCAGGTCCCAACTTTCCCAAGAAAGTGACCCACCACAGCCAACTTCTTCACATAGTGCCAGTCATACTTTAATCAGTTATTTACTAATCACTTAATTCATATCCACCTCCTCTACTAAATTGTAAGCCTCATAAAAGCAGGGATTCTGTTTCATTCATCACTGTATCCCCAGATGCCTAACGAGGTAAAACAAGTATTTGTTGTGGCTATATACAAAGGATTATATGAAACTGTAAGTTTCAATGCTGTATTACCTTTAGAATAAAAAATTTTGTTATTTAGAAGGAAAATTCAGCCAATCTAATAATTTAACCAAAGTTACTAAAACATTTATACTTCAGCAGGAAGGAAAAACCAAATCACCAAAGCCAGAGCTAAATGTTCAGTACATGCTGGCAGCACAGACTTCTCATGTGCTTGAAAGTTTGGAATTTTAAAGTCCACACACGCAACCCCACTACCACCACCACATCCCCGAAGGGTCCTACCATCAGGCAGAGGATCAACCCAGTGTTTGTTGAGTCCCATGGGAATAGAATCCATCTCAGCTTCCCGCTGGGCCTGTTTGAGCTCCCGCCTTTCTTTGGCCAAAGCACTCTGCATCATCGCAGCTTGGGACAGGGAACCATCCGGGTTCTATGCAGCAAAGGAAAAAGCAACATCAAATGGGATTTTAGCATGCACTACATGTGCAGGAAATAAAATGCAAGATGTTAAGCCACGTGAATCTAAGAAGAAAAACTCAATACAATCTACCAGGCCACATGAAAAAAGATTGATAAACTATAGATAGGGTACTTGGAGAAAATGGTGAAAGTGGTAAATCACTGCAGGAATTGTAGCTTAAAGAAGAAAACCCCAGGGAGCTAGGATGCTGCTATCTTTAATTGTATGAAGCACAAAAAAGGGCATGAATTCTTACAGCCCCAAGAACTAAGACAGACCACTGCAGATGCCTTGGCAAGATAGATTTCAGCTCCTAAAGAAGAACTAATGACCAAATCTAGGTAAAGATGGATGGGCCTCCTTAGGCGCTGATAAAGGCCTTTCACCCAAATGGCCAGGCCAGGCACCTGAGCGAAAACCACATGGGAGTGGCTGCAGAGGGCACACAGGTAGATCACTACAGCCGCGTGAGCAGCCTTTACGATACCCTTTCCCATTCCTACAATATTACTGTAGCTGCTCCATGACTTCTTGCTTGAATTCTCATTGCTCCATAGTGAGAGCTTTCTACTGAGGACCGGACTCAATCGGTCAAATGAACCCTTCCAAACTGCCTGTGACCCTGCCAGGTAGTAGTGATTCAAGCTGTAAGGCCTGGCAGAGGCAGTGATATTTATCCCAGAACATACTAAAATGAGAGCTTGTAAGTCAAAAAGGTGAAAGCAGCAATGTTAAGTCGATACTCCTTTAAAACAAAAATATTGTAGCCCTTGAGCAAAGGTTAGCACTGCCTCCTCTGGCCAGACTTCTGCTTACACAGAAAAAATGAAAAACTGTTACTTTAAGAAGTTCACACTGAAGTAAACTTTAGGTTCTAGGTTGAAATCCCAACATTTCTCACCTTAACAATTTTAATTGGGCTCATGTCCATGCTTTGCTTGGTGTGTCCTCTCAGGAACGGAGGCTCTTCCTCAACCAGTTCGATCTCAAGATCCTCATCTAGAAGTCCCCCAAAAAAGAATTAGCCAAACAAAAACAAAAGAAAAATAACCTATCATTTTCACCAAAACTAGTCATTTTCATGGCACTAGCAATCTCTGTCAAAGATAGCTCCCCAGGTCAAAAGGACAGCAATGGAGGAAACTCCACCACAGGCAACTGTTCTGCACCCCACCCAGTCACTTGGGCATTTGTGCTTCAGCCCAAGAACTGACAGAGCTACTTTCAAAAGAAGCTAAGTCTGTGGGAAAAATGATACTAAGGTATTTACCATCCAACTCCACTACAGAATAGCTCTTAATCCCCCTCTTAGGGAGGAAAAAATTAAGTTGGACAATACCAAAACATGGACAAGGATGTGGAGCAAGAATTCACACTGATGAAGTATATAAAGTGGTACAAAAACCTCAGAAAACTATTTGGATTTCCTGGAAACTTGAACACACATATTTCTCACTACACAGTAATTCTCCTATGTATTTAGGAAAAAAATAAGGTCTTGTACATGAGCAGTAGAAGGCAAAACCAGGAATTTTATAATTATACTACTTATAAAGAGAAAAAATCCATATGTCCATCAAAAGTAAAATGGACAGAGCCTTCCTGGTGACACAGAGTTAAAGACAGTGCCATGAAGCTATCTGCAGCCACTGCAGCATGAGTTCAATACCCAGCCAGACCTCTCCTGACCCGCCCACGGCTCCCCTCAGCAGTGTGTTTCAGTGCATCTGCCTGTTCTGCTCCCCACTCTGTTGCTGGTGGAGTCTCTTACCCCCTGCACCTCTGGCCTACATCCCTGTTCTTATATGCAAAAAATAAAAAAAAATAAAATTGGACAAATTATGCTAAATTTACATACAGAAACACAACAGCAGTGAAAAGAAAATACAACTGTAAGGAATGATAGTGAACAACAACTACAAAAGACTAAACAATATGTTTACTGGTAGATGGCAAAACACCAAAGAAAAGATAAACAAAAACTTGGCATAGTGGTTGGCCAAAGAAACGAAAATTTAATCATGGGGGCATGTAGCCGCTTCAAAGGTGTTCGTAAGGTTCTACTTAACCGGGGGGTGAATGTGTGGCTATGCCTTTATTTTGTTATCTAAATTAGGGACGGCTCTATTACAGAATTTTATGTCACAATTTTAAGAAACTGCCAATGGTCCAAGTTAAACGTTGCTTTCAGGGCAATCAAAGATAATCTAGATGGATCCAGGATTTTTAGAACAATTACTAAGAATATGAAATCCAATGTACTCTCCAAAATATAATTCCAACCTTCTATGTCCTCAAAAGTTGTTATAAGCAACAACGAAGACAATATGTAAACATTTACCAGAAAATTAAATTTTTTGCTTTCATCATTGTGGGATTCTTGTTTTTTAAGAGATGAGTGGTGAGACTAAAGGATTAAACTACAAAGAAACTATCCAGTCCAGGGGTTCAATTTGCTAATTATCCCCTCAAATCATTACCCAAGTGGCTACCTACCTTCTTCATCATCCACTTTAGGGAGGATGCCAGTCTCTTCATCAAAGTCTGGGAACTCTTCTTTAGAAAGGACATTGGCAGCAATCATCTAACCAGAGGACAAAAGGCAACATCTGTAACCTGCTAGGGTCAAAACTGCCTTTGCAAGGCAATACAGGTTTCATGTTAAAAAAAAAAAAAAAAAGGATTTTTCCTAATCTTGATCCAGGATTACAGGACCTCAAGCATCACATACCCCATCCTTGGGGGTGACGACATGATACCCAAAAGCATGGCCTCAGGGGTCTCATTCCCAGGAAGTTATCTGCTCTTCCCTTGTTTCCACAGCACTCGGCACACTCATCACATAATATACAAACCTTCACAATTATCTGTTTCAACCTGTCTCCTCTACTCCACTTGAAGTTCCTTAGGGTGTAAATGACCATCTTTGCAGCCCTGCACCTCCACGGTGCCCAGCACACCCATGGTTCTGATGTTTACAGTGAATGATGAAAACGGAGCACTTCTATAGCCCTTACCCCACGCGGGCGTGACCTAAGAGCTTCACTTGCATTAACTCACATAAGCCCCACGCCGCCACCACAGACTGCTATACAGACGAGGCTGAGGCACAAAGGGCTACAGTAACTTGACTCTGGATCACACAGCTCGAAGCTGCCAGAAGTCACCCCCAGGCCGCGTGATCCAGGCCTGCACACCGACCCACCGTGCCCCGTGCTGGAAGCCCACAAGGCCATCGGAGTGATGGCTGCCAACCCAGAGGGTGCAACTGAAAGGAGTAGGAGGAAGGGAACCCGTGACAGAAGCGGAAGAGAGGCACACGCTGGTACAGGGAGTACAACAGGAGGGGATGCGAAGCTGAGATTTGGGCAGGACTCAACTGTTAGAGACAGTCTATGTCCTGGGATGAACGGGCCTTGCACTGCCAACTTTGGAACTCCAGCATATGACATTTCTATGACAAAGAGGAATGGCTCCCACCTGTTTGATCTCCCACTTCTCTGGGTCAGAGATGCGGGTAAGGCGCTTGCGCTCCAGGGAGTCATCCTCTACTTCAGGGGCACTGACAAGGGAAAGGTGAGTCGGTCTGTCTGGATTCCGCATCGAGGTCTCCTCACTGGTCTCCCCGACAAGATTCCGCCGTCGATTTGGGTTTAGATCCTCTCCAGTCTCTTGGTCAACATCCTAAGGCACAAAAACAAGGGCGCCAGCTCACTCACTGCCTCCCTCTGTCTCCATGACGATCAGCTATGGAAGGAGGCTAGGTACCTCACCCACCTTCATGCTCAGGCTGGTCTTGGTCCCAGTAAAGGACAGCACCTTCACCTTGACCCTCTGGCCTTTGCTCACCACATCTGCCACATTGGCCACACGGCCTTCTCGCCGAAGCTCAGAGATGTGCACCAAGCCTTCCCACCGCTTCCTGAGGGAGAGTCAGAAACACCTGGAGCACTCCTAAAATGGACCCTTTCCCCCACCAATTTTCACCCTCTTGGGAACTGAACAAAATGGTCTTCAACTCAAGAGGAAGGTATCACAAAAAATGATCAATTAATAAAAATGTTCTACTTTCCTCCCAGAGAAAAGAAAAAATGTGTGTGTTGAGGGGGGAGCACAGAGCCAGACAAATTCTTATTTGTCTGAATCAGCTAAAGGGTGATCCCCTGAGGGCAGAGGAAGGAAGAAATGTAAAAAGTCAAATTCTAACAAGTTGGTGAGGCTGATTTGACTAAGTATCACATTAACCATAACCATGCGAAAACCCCAAGTAATAAAAGAAATGCTGCCCATCACTGGTGTGAACAAAGAGCACCAGTCCCTACCTCAGTCCCTCCAGCTGCACAAAGCATCCAAACTGCATGATGCTGGTAACTTTGCCATTATAAATGTCCCCGATGGCGGGTTCTTCAGGAGGCGGGCGGTCCACGTGCTTATCCCGCCATCTGTCCAGATTCCTCTCCCCATACTTGTCTCGGTCCTTCCTGTCTTTGAGTGGACTCTGACTTCTGCTCCTGGACCGGTATCTAGACTTCCCTTTGTTCCTCTCCCGGGTCCTGGAGCGTGATCGAGAGCGGGACCGGTGTTTCCGCTTGTGGTCTCTGTTGCGATCTCGGTCTCGGTCGCGGTCTCGGTCTCTATCTCTGTCCCTGACTCGGTCTCGATCTCGGCTCCGGCTTCGGCTCCGCTTCTTCTTCTTTGTTCTGTCTCTAACAAATCAACCAACACCTATTTAGAAAAGAAACTAGACCACTTTCCTCCCTGTACCCCCAAGCACCCAGCACAGAGCCATGCCTGTGGTAGGTGCCCACTAAGGGTTGCAGTCCAGTAACCAGGACATTCTTGCAGCCATAAACATGTTCAGTCTCTCTGACCCAGTTTTCTATCCTCTGATTTGCAGCATAAATATTCTTGACAGGGAGCAGTGAAAATAGATTCCAGTCTAGGCTGCATGGCCAGTAGAGGTGTTGTAACTTGCTTGGCTGATCCACAAAATTCAACTATTATAGTTCCTAAACTTCCAAAGGACAGGACACCCAGGACAAACCAAAAAAACCCCACACAAACAGGACAAACCGGTGTTCAGTGTCTCTTTGCTTCTCCTGGCCTGCTGCGCTGGGCATTAAGGCCTCCAGTTCTTTCAGAACATCCACAGCAACTTTCACATCATCTTCGTCCAGCATGGTCTACAAGGGCAAAAGCCAGAAGAGTTGGGGGGTGGGGGGAGCCGCTCAAGAATCTCCACGTCAGGTGCCTCTGCGATTCTGACAGCCCCTACCTACATCACTGACCGACTATGCGAAAACAGCAGAGGGAGGTGGCAATTTCCTACACAGCTGATGGCAGAGGCTGTTTGGAGAGTGAGCAAATACTTTCATTTTGGAAAACATAACAAGGAAGGTAAACAAAGTCAGAAAAAAGTAAGACCAAGAAAGGGGCTGGGGGTGGGGAAGGTGCTCACATAGCAAAGAGTCTCAAAATGGTATCAGTACCCGAACGGAGGGGTTGTCTGGTTGGCAAAGAACAGGAAAGAGTTCCTTCAGCTTTTCTTTTTCAGTTTTGGGTTTAACAACTGGATCTTGTTTCATTAAAGAGCATGAAAGAAAAAAAAAAAGATATTTAATATTCTTAATGGTTAACAAAACAGCTTTCACATTAGATTTCCATCAAACTAAAACAAAACAGGGCATTTTGCTATGTATTACCCACACACATTATTATAAACATACTTTAATTTTCTAAAAACACTGATTATAAAACCCTCAACAAATTACACAGACTGATGTACTGACCGGAGGGGTGCATTTTTATTCACTTAGTTATCATGTCTTACAATTTTAACTTATTTGAAAATTTTTACTCTAATACTTATTTGTTGAGCAGCTGCTGAAATAGAAACAACTGCAATTTAAAGCCTGCTGGCAACCTAGAGCGCTGGCAACCTCAGCTCAACTTGCAGCTCTGCTCACCTTTGCTCGTGGAAGGTTTTGCTGGGGGCCTCATGGTTTGTATGAGTCGCAGCAAGTTACTAATTAGCGAATCCTTTGAAGGAAAACAAAACAAAAATGGTCAGCACCTGAATCAGAGCTTAAGTACACTTAACAAAGGGATGCCCCTCGGTCCTTTAGAGAGGGATGTTATGCACCTGTATTTAACTACTTAGAACAATGAAGCATAGAGTGTCAACCTGCTGTAGCATGAACCTACAGCTTCAGAAAAAAGTCAATATTTAGGCCTTTTTGTTCGGTGGGGTAAAGTCACTTAATTCCCTTCAACCAGTTTATTCTCCATGGTTTAGAACTACCTCTTAAAACTAATTCATGTCTGACCCCCTGATTCACAGGACAGGAATGTAAACACCCATAAAGACTTAATGATAGAAATCATTTCCCTCGAAAGGTGTCACGGGACATCCAATCACACCACTGTATAGTGACAAGAAGACATTATGAACTTAATGGTGACAAGAAGACATTATGAACTTAATGGTTTATTTGACTGGTATGGACAAATTATCTCCTTTCTATATCAATATCCTGTATTAAGTCCTACCAAAATATGACATTATAATAAAATAAAGAGTTTAGATACACATACCGTAAACTCTGCACCATTTTTGACCAAAGACGTCTTAAAAGTATCAAAGGTGGTATTTTTCTCAGCAAGACTGATTACAAATTCAGCTGCAAAAGAGAAAAAGAATTTATAACAAGAATGGAGACTTGAGCAAGAAACCAGTTTCAAATATGTTGAAGACTTTTGTGAACACCTATTACATACCAGGCACCTTGCTAAGTGCTTCAGATGGGTTATCCCCATGACCCTCACCACAGCCCTCAACTCTGGTAGGTAGGAGTACGGACTCTATTTTAAAGATGAGGAAGCTGAGAGTCTGAGATGCTGGCTTACCCAATAATAATTGGTGGAGCCAGAACTAGTATACAGGCAACCTGAATTCAGAGCCCATATTCTTCAGAGAAATGTTGCAGGAGAATTAAACCACGTGGCTAGACACACCATGCTCAAAAGGAGTCAGTACCCCCAAAATAGTGAGTAGCACATTCACACTGCAGCCACCATTAATCAGAATTTTTTTTTTAAATCTTCGCATGAGCTAACCCATGTGAAATACAGACTTACATTTGGGGCAGCCATAAATTAGCTGAACTATCAAAATAAGTTAGTATTAACAATACTGATTTAAATGATAATCCATCAAAGTCATAGTTAAAACAAATCAAGCCAACAAGTAAAATAGAAAGACACATATTTATCCCTTTGTTGTCAAATCCAATTCTGGTAACAATTAGTTTCAATAGAACAGTTTTATTTAGATCTGCCTATTCTGCTCCCTACTCTCTCTCTGGTGAATTCTCTCACAACCGACTCCCACCTATGGTCTGTACCCCAGCTCTTAAATGCATAAATAAATCTTAAAAAAATAAAAGAGGGAATCTGAGGAAAACTTACACAGGACACATTTTGACTGGCAGGCAGGAAAAACGTGAATTAAAATATAATGACTACAGGGCATTTTCCTAGGTGCTATTTGGTAACCATATGATGTACAGACTGTTACTATCATCCTTTTGCTTTCATAAGGACCCCACCTGCCTGTAGCCTTGGCTTGGGAACCCTTGCCTTTTCCAATTCCTCATTTTGGGTTCTCCACATGAAGGCTACCCCAAAACATCTAACAATAACTGGTATTTCAGAGACAGTACAGAATGAAAGGTTAAAAACACAGTGAAAGGCACAGTGACTTCAAAAGACTTGAATTCCAGACCAGGCTCACGCCTAATGGGTTTACTTTATTAGTCAGGGTCCTGTGATTTTAATTTAGAACACATAATGCTATCTCACAGATTAGTGTGAAGACCAATACTGTGTGTAAAGAACTCAACATATTTTCTGGCAATCCAATAAATGATCTGCCATGATCATCAACATCCGCATTATCATTTACCGGCTGTTGTCGTTGGCGGCTCATGCTGTTTGATGTTAGTTATTTGGGGGTGAAAAAGAACGAAATAAAACCAAGAAAGCAAGCAGCGATGGCCGCTGACAGCTCCGGGAAATTATTTCTAACAGCTCGGCCTGGAGGGCTCTCGGCCGCCCAAGTCTGTGACACCAGAGACACAGGCAAGCGACACACATTCAGCCCACCAACCCCTTTCTCGTCCCGCTTCCCTCGGCCGCAAACCGAGGCCGCAGGGACCTGCCCCGGCTCACCCAGATCCTTGTCGTTGATCCCCAAGTGATTATCCAGCTCCGTGCAAACCTTCGATACCAAAGACAAATACTCGAGCTTGGCGAGTTCTTCGGCGGGACCTAGCTCCGTGCCGATCCCAGCTCCCGCCAGGGCCACAGCCACCGCCATGGCTACGGCTTCCCCTGCGGAGCTACTTCAGCCCAGCTCCAGGCTTCACTTCCGGGTCGGTGCCCGTCCCTTCTGTTTACCGTAAAGCCCTTCTCTAGGTCCTTCTCATGACGTCACCGGATGGACCATAGAGATGGACAGGAAGTGCCTCAGGAAGGGACGGCGGAGTGACTGCACGTCAGCGGCGCCCTCTACAGGCCAGCGCGCTCCCTAGCCGCCTGGGAACTGAGCGCTGGGCGCAATCCCTCCATGGTCGGCAGAGGGCGCCCGCGGCCCGCGATAAGGGCGCCGAGAGCTGGAACCCAAATCCAAGTCTGAAAAAGGCAAAATTTGCTTTGCAGTGGATCCGGATGTCCCTGGGGCTTTGCACCTGCGTAGCTCACTACGCCACCCTATCCTATCGACTTCCTATCCTATCTTCCTATCCTATCGTAAGCGACTCAGTAACAAACCTGCTAGACGGTGGGGTCTAGTTTTGTCACTAGCTGCTTTCACCGATAAGGAAACTGTTGCTCCCACTAACAAGCTGAGTGACCTTGGCAAATCACTCTGGGGAGCCTGAGCTTTCTCCTCTGTCCATGTAGCCCTACCTGGGCTGTGGTGAGGGCTAAATGAGATAACTATGCAAAGAGCCTAACACAGGAGACACTACAAATGGCAGGTAGAGACGCCCCAAGATAATGGAAGGTGTAAAGTTTGTCTGTCAAACACACCCCCCACTCAGTCTGATAACCCTATTAAGCTCCCCCTCCGCTCGTCCTTTCTTGGGAAAACTACTTCGTAACCCTTGATTCTCCCAGTGGACACCCTCAGTCTTCGCAGAACTGTTTCCCTCAAATATCGGCTGCGTGGCGAACCCCAGGTCATAAACTCAGGCCTCTCTGCTTCGCGTCAGTCCTCTCCTTATTCCTTTGTGACAACTCTACATTGAGGTGATTTTCCCAACTATACTGCTCTGTGTGGTGACTAAGGGAACGCTTTTCTAAGTGAGCGCCCCTCCAGTCCATCAAAAGGGAAGAAATCAGACCCTTTTGCTTTTAATTTCAGGCTATATTACACCTTTGTCATTGATCCTCCAACCTCTCCCCAAGGACTAAAGAATGGCAGACGGGAACGCCCCTCCTCAGCGCCTCCAAGGGCCCCACATCTGAAGGGACGTGGGACTCAGCACAGCTCTCTGCTCTTCCCACTCCTGCCCTTTCTCTTCCTCCTTTCCCGAGAATGAAATGGAAAATTTACTTGATTCAACATGTTCATCTTGCCAGCTTGGAGATAGGATATCAAGGGCTTGTTCCATTTGACTTCCTTTCTTTGTGCTGCTTTGCTTAAAAAAAAATCCATACATACATCCTCTTTCCTTCAATACTTAACAAGAAAGGGGAACAAACATGGAGTTTGTTTTGGCTTAAAAAATGTCTTTGGGGGCCCTCCCTGGTGGCACAGCGGGTTAAAGCACAGCACTGAGAATCTAAAGCTGCTTCCGCATGAGTTCGATTCCCGCCTGCCCCGGAGGTGACCACATGGCGTGGCAGACCTCTCCTGACCCGCCCGCTGCTCCCCTCAGCAGTGTACTTCGTGGATCTGCCTGTTCTGCTCCCCACTCTGTCTCTGGTGAATCCTCTCACCTTCCGCATCTCTGGCCTGTACCCCAGTTCTGTATGAATAAATAAATAAATCTTTAAAAGAAAAATGTCTTTGGGCAAAAGGAGTATAGCACCATAACACAGAGTAGTAGAAGCAATAAATACTGTGAGAACTTTACTAATTGTTTGGGGTATTATTGAAAATAACTATCTCACTGGGAAATATTAACAGCAAAATTCACTCAATTTTATTCACATATTCCATAAACGACAGTTTCAGAAGTGACAGCTTTTTAATGCAATGCACATATTTCCTGTAATACCAAGGAATTTTTTTGAAGCCAAAGAAAAAAATAAACTACAGACAACTTTTTTTTTTTTTTTAGCATAAAAGAACATAGCATATGGGATAGCCCAGAGATTCAAGGAGGTGAGAGGATTCTCCAGAGTCAGAATGGGGAGCAGAATAGGCAGACTGATTAAAATACACTGCTGAGGGGAGCAGCAGGAGAGACACGAGAGGTCTGCTGCGCCATATTTGGGTTTGCTTCTTGGCAGAGATCGAACTCAGGCTGCAGTTCTGGTGATAGTGCTGAGACTTAATAACCCCTAGCCCAACAGGAAGGTCCCCCAGATAACTTGACCGCCCAAACACAGATGCACATCTCTACATCATCACCCCATAAAAGACACTGAACCAAACACAGTTCCAAAATGAGGGTATTCCAATGGTCTGTCGGATATGACAGGTATATCCATATACCATTGCATACACACGTAATATCAGATGTAATTAACTGCCCATTATTATTATGTGACTTTCCTTAGAATCCTAGTAATGTAGCCACTGATAGTTCCTAATAAATAATTTACCTTCACCAAAAAATACTAAAAAAATAGCCTATCCAGGCCCTCCCTGGTGGTATAGCCGGTTAAAGCGCAGCACTGAGAATCTGGAGCTGCTTCCGCATGAGTTCGATTCCCGCCTGCCCCGGAGGTGACCCACATGGCGCGGCAGACCTCTCCTGACCCGCCCGCTGCTCCCCTCAGCAGTGTACTTTGTCAATCTGTCTGCTCTGCTCCCCACTCCGTCTCTGGTGAAGCCTCTCACCACCCCTGAGCCTCTGGCCTGTACCCCAGTTCTGTATGCACAAATAAATAAATCTTAAAAAAAAAAAAAGCCTATCCTACCCATAGGACCACCCACTATGAATAAGAAATTATACCTATTTCTAGATTAAAGTGTGTGTTCACCCCTAACCCCATTTCTCACATCATGTCTGCTCTGTCCTAGAGACTTTTAAGAACTTGAGGTTGGTGGGAGGCAGGAAGCAGAGAAGAAAGTTCTGAGCCTCTTAGCAAACTAGATTGGCTAGGGGAGGGCTGCTGAAAGGTGGCATTCTCTGGGAAGCTGGTGAGAAAAATCACAGGACCCCTGTCACCAAAACAAATGGTGTTCCTGTGACCAAGGCAGCCTTCTTTTTCTGCTTGAGGTAAGACTCAGATCTTAAGGTAAACACTCTACTTCTAAGTAGTAACTGCCACCCAGCTGGTAGTTATTAATGCAGAGAAACTTGAGGAAAAAGTGGCCCCTTTACTGCTCCACTGGGGCCCTGACCCAACCAGAGAGCCTGGAGCCCACTACAGAATCTGATGAAATAGCCTGAGCCTGTTCACTGGAAGTCCTGGCTGCTAGGACAGGGCCTCAGAGAAAGTGCACTAGTGAGACACCCTTCCTTTCCCCCCCTTTGACTTTACCTCTCAATTTTTCTCCAAATTTGAATCAACTCATCAAACACGTGTTGAACATCTACTTTGTGTCCAGGCAGTGTGGTAATTTCTGGAAGGACCATTAAAAGTCTGAAAAGTGAGCCTCCCTGGGGGCGCAAGGTGTTAAGTCACAGCACTGTGAAGCTCTCAGCACATGCCTGGCCAGGGAGCTGACCTACAGGGTGCAGCAGACCTCTCCTGTCCTGCCCGCTGCTCCTCTCAACAGTGGACTTCACTGCTCGCCACCCACTCTGTGTCTGGTGAAGCTTCTCACACTTTTCTTTCATCCCATCTCTGGTCTCACCCCAGCTCTTCTATGCATAAATAAAAAAAATAAATCTTAAAAACCAAGGTCTGTAAAGTAGGGGAAAACATCAAAGAAGAAGTGGAATACTGTTTTAAGGGCCACACTGGTGTCTGGACAGAGCTGTGTTTATAGCACTGAACTCCCTGGCCTGGGGGGGGGGGGCGCGTGGCCATTCTGCAAGGTGGCTCCTCCCACTGCAACTGAAATCCAGTATTTGTCTGCGTTATCTTCTAATGCCTGAGCACAGCCTGAATCTTGTGCAAGATGACCTGGCCTAAATAAAATCCCCTCTCTTCTCAGGCCATCAACCTGCCATCATCATAATGGATGTTTGGGGCTCTAAATTCTCCAAAGTTTTGTAATTATTAGGCAAAAATGTTCCTCCCCAACAAGCATCTTTTTTTTTTTTTTTTTTTGTCATTCAAGTTCCCTCCTTTCTTTCTCACTTGAAGGGCTGTCTTAAAATGTCAGGAAAAAGGAGAAAAAATAAGATACCCTCATGATGCAGATTTCCTAAGAAAATTTATTCTCCCATATCTACCTCCTCACCTTCTGTGGGAATAGAAAGGAATTTCACATGTTTATTTATGAGTTAGTCATCCTTTACTTGACCCTGCTTGTGGATCTAGCTGGTATTTCTTGGGCTTGGTTTAGGTTGGTTTTCTTTGAAAAGAAAAAAACATTTAATTCATATTGTGATTATAGGTGACAACATGATTAAGTTACTTGGGGCTTTTATTTTCTCTACTGATATTCAGCCCCCACCTCTGACAGTGGGTATTTTTGTCGCCTCCAGTTTCTGTTTGAGGTAATCCTTCAGATTTTCCTCAGGAGAGGCATACAAGAATCAAGCTGAATCAAGACGCTGATAAGAAGAGGGCTGAGAAAAGGGCGGCTGATAATCTCTTGTTGGCAACCTGCATGTGGAAACAGCTGTCCATCAGCCCAGGGCCAAAGGTCTGTATTAATTTGCACACTTGACACTAACTCAAAAGAAACAGCTCCTCGGGGGATTCTATTTCTTCCCAAAGTGAAGGAGGATGATTTTCCAACATGCCTTCTATTCCAAATCTGGAGTGTCCACCTGAGCCAGCGCGGACTCCCTCGCCAGCCCTCCCGGCCCTTAACCTCAGGTCAAACAGACTTGTCAGCGGCAGCAGCGGCCGCCCCGTGCCAGAATTAGCTGCCTCTCCGTTTGGGGGATTACAGTAATTATAGTGATTTATGCTTCCAGAGTGAAAATTAGCAATGTGGTGAGGTAACTCAAAGTGACTAGTTCTCTTCCTAGAGTTCACTCCACCCAGCTGAGCCACCAAATAAATCCAGTTTAGGGAGCGATTAGGAAGCCGCGCTCCCGCCTCCAGAGCCCA